ACATCCAGGTCGCGGTCCAACTGAGCAGGCTGAGTTCCTAACTGAGCAGGCTGAGTTCCCAACTTAGTTGGCTGAGTTGGTGCTGAAGTTGTCTTCTTCGTCTATTCAGCCTCTGTAAACCCTAAAACTCCATAATTAAAGCCTCTAAGCTTCAACCTAAGTCTCATACGTCCATACTAAATTATTTTAGATGTTTTAACATGCAAAGATTAAACTTAAACATCAAATATGCATCAAAAATTCCAGAATCATTCAAAACAAGAATATGAAACTAAAAACATACAATCATTTGTTTTAGTTCAATTAAGCATGCATAATACTTCAGTTTAATTATTTAAGTCTCCTGGAATATCCTAGGCATGTATAGAAACACAGATCAAAGGGAGAGAGTAAGAGAAGAACTTGCCTTAGGATTTCAGATTGAAAATCCTGATAAGTGCTTAAATGTTGCACATTTCAGCACCTAAGCTAGGGTATTTCAGTCTTTGCATCTATCTTAAGTTTATGTTTTAGTCCTAATTTATGTTTATGTGTATTTCAGGGCAATAAAGTTAAAATGAGCTAAGAACGGTCCAATTAAGCCTTTTTGGAGTTAAGCAAAGATTTTCAGAAAATGGCACAAAGCGGTCAATCTCGGGCCTTTGATGATGTTCCCAAAGATGGAGAAGCAAACCAAATAGCCCAGGGCAAAAATGGAGCTGAATAAGGCTTAAAGGAATTTTTCAACTCTGGGGGATCGATCCCCCAGGGTGGGGGATCAATCCCTCAGGACTTGGCAACATTGCATATTTTTATTTTAATGTTTGGGCTTATTTTGTAACCTAGTGGGCTTTAATAGGTTTATTACTTAAGCCCAGTGAGGCCCATTGTTTTTAGGGTTAGTATTTATTAGTTTAGTGATTTATTATTTGGGGAATTAAGTTTTTATTTTTTTTTTTTGATCTGTATCGTGATATTGTTCTCTTTGGGAGAAAACGAAAGGAAGAAAAAAAGCGGGGGGTTTGAAGAACAGTTCTTGCAGAGACTTTGTCTACAATTGAAGGAAGAAGAAGAGGGAGCCAAAAGATGGAGATGGAGCTTGTTGACACCATGATCATCTTCTCCATGAGCTAATTCTTCACTTAGGGCTTGGATGAGCCCTAAGTTCATGTAACCTAAACCTTTGTTTTTCTTTTCTTGGGGAATTATTAAGTTGTAATTAAATATTTGGCCTTGTGATTTATTTATATATACATGCTTGATTTGACAAATTAGGGCTTGTATTGATTAATTCTTCCATTGAAATCTCCAAGTTGATTGTATGTCTATATATGATTAATTAGGGATTTTATTCTTCATTAGATGTTTGAAAATTAATTCTTCCATTAATTCTATATGAAAATTGCATGTCTATGTGTGATTGATTTAGAATTATACTCTACACTAGATACTTCTTTTAGTTGTGTTTAGTGATGGCCATAGCATGAGACTTAGTTGATACAATTGTAAATTAATTTGATGGATAAAGGCTTAATCTTGATGGGTTGTTCTACAAATTAGCTTATTGTCATTAGGTAATTGTAGTAAAGTAGGCAATTTGTGCTTGATTATGTTAATCCATACTTCTAATTACAATTAGTATTATCCTCTTAATTGATGTGTGCTTTTATCGAATACATTTGTGAATGTGTATGGTGGGTTATGACGTAGTCTTGAATGGGTTCTACACTTTAGTTTAATTGTCATTAGGCAAACAATTCATTCTTGATGTTGATAATCTATGCTTACAATTGTGATTTGTGATGATAATGTGACCACATCTATAATTACACTAATAAATTCCCCATTAATTGAAAGCATATGGTTAATTGCATGGGCTTAGTGGTGAATCCTAACCCTAAGACTCTCTTCCTATCTCTTTAATTCTTAGTTTAATGTCATTTCTATTTTCATGCTTTTAATTGAATTTTAGTTTAATCACTCCACCAAAATATTTTTCTCTCACACTCTTTCTCTTCTCTCTTTTACAATCTAATTAGCATTAAAATCAAGTTTAGTCCCAACACGTGTTCAATCCCTTGGGTTCGATCCCTTCTCACTTCATACTACATAGTATAAGTGTCTAGCGGTTTACAAATGTAAACTATGATGCCCGCTTGATACCATTTCCAAAACCAAAGTGTTGTGCATTATTTTGTGCACACGCTCGGGTCGCATCATAATTTTGGCGCCGTTGCCGGGGATAGACAACCTCTGCAGCTGGTCTAAAAAGGCAGGACAAACGCCTCCTTTCAAATTCTAACACCGCCCATTCAGTCGCGTCATTGTGGCAAAATGTACCTTCAATGTCGAAGGTAGTCTCAAAATTCAGACGTTTGTTGCGCCACACAACTTTGGGAGTCTCTTTGGAGGGTTTGAAACGTTTGGAAGAAGAAACACGAGTCATTTCTTAAGATTGAAATATATGGGAAGTAGTCCAAAATCAATAACCCTACTTCAATGACAAATATTTTTTTTTAAATCATCAATTCAAAATTTTATGCACTTTTTTTTTTTTTTTAACAACAATTCAACTATTTTTTTTTTTTTTTTTTTTTTAAGTCATCAATGTAAAAATAAAAAAAAATAAAAAAAATAAAAAATAAAAAAAAATGGAATCTGGAACCCAATTAACAACTCACAAACTTGCCAAACTTGCCAAAATCAGCACTTACCCACATACTTGCCGGAGAAAACCCAGTCAAAAGCCGCCGGAATTGATGAAGAAACCAAATCAAAATCTAGCCAAAATCGCTGGAGGGAACAGCCAGTTGCAACGCCGGAAAAATAAAGGGCGAGTCTCAAACAGCGCCGGAATTTAAGCCCAGCCGGAATTGCCGGAAAGAGCCGCCGCGATCGCTGTTGGAAGAACCAGACGCCGGAATCGCTGAAGAAGAAGCAGTCGCAACGTCGGAGGATGAAACAGATCGCCGGTGCTAGCCGAGATCGCCGGAGAACGACCCAGCCGCGAATCCTTGATGAACCCAGCCGCGAATCGCTGGAAAACGAACAGATGGGACGCCAGAAAGACGAACAGAGGCGACGCCGGAAGACGAACAGCCGCGTCGCCGGCGCAGCGAACAAGCCGGCGAAATCTCTACCCAACAGCCTCAAACGTAACCCACAGTCGGCGAAATCCACAACCCAACGCCTAAACTGCAGGTGAAGCGAACAAGCCGGCGAACGAACCAACCGCGACGATGTAATCTCGGCGACCCAACAGCCGCAGACGCCAGAGAACTAAGCCAAACGCACCGAAAAAGAAAAACCAGCCGCGGTGATGTAATCTCGGCGACCCAACCTCGTCGGAGAAATACAGCGATTAACACACCCGCCGGAAAGACCCAGCCGACGCTGGAAAGTTGTACAGCCGCGATCTCGGAGAAAAACCCAGCGGCGATCGCTAGCCCAGATGCGACAGAGAACGGCGAAGTAAAATCGTCGGGAAATAACCCACCACCCAACAGCAACGCCGTTGAACGACCTCTTCAACACGGCGCAAGAGAGGATAGAACAGAGAGGATCGAATAGAGAGGATGGTCGAAGAAAGCGAGGGTTTGAAGAACTTGGGTTAAGAGATTTGAGGGTTGGCAGTGAATGCAGACGAGAGAGAGATGGGAAGGCAAGCTAACGGGCTCGATCCATCAGTTAAGGGGATCGATAATTTTAGACACAAAATTGGCCCTTCACTGTAGAATGAGAAAGTGGCGACATAGGAAAAAAGGGATCGATCCACGTGATTGGGGGATCAATCTACTTGGGACATTTTTTTGTTGCTCTCTGCCAAGATGGTGATCCATCTTTTGCTTTTTTTTTTTTTTTTCTTTAATTTATTTATTTTTTAATATATACACTAAAAATAAATAAATAAAAAATAATAATAATAACTAAAAAGAATATATACACTGAAATGAAAAATAGATAAAAATAAAAATAATAATAAATAAAATTAAAATAAAATCACTTACCAACTTAATTTTTTTTTTTTTTTTTTTTAAGTAAAACTAAAAAGAAAAATATATATATACTAAAATTAAATATATATAAAAATTAAAATTAAAATAATACTACTAAAAATTAAAATAAAATCAAATACCAACTTATCCTACCTATCACAACAAATTTTTTTTTTTTCTTTTTGAATTTAAAAATACATAAATGTACAAAAGGAAAAGAAAACAAAATAATAATAAAATGCATTTTTTTTTTTTTTTTTTTTTTTTTTGAAAATTCTACGAACAACTAGTGTTTAACGTCTCTAGCAAGACGTTGGGGCGACTCACTAGTCGAAAGAATCAAAAACTGGATATGAGACATCCTCATTGATCCGTTTATCTATTTTCCCAAATGGATCCGCTCTCACAACAACAAATTCATCTCTCAAAAGAATGATTTGGAAAGAAATGGTGAAAGATGCAATTTGTTTCCTCTCATCCACGGTTTTGAAAATAAAGTCCATAATGAGCGGCCTTGCACTTGGCAAGGTAATGTCTTTCAAAGGCTCGGTTAGATTATTAAGAAACTCAATCTCTTCATCATTTTTGTCAACTTCCACATTGATCACTTTCTCCTCCTTCACTAAGGTCGCCTCAATGACTTCATGCTCAATATTATAAGGAATGTCCTCATAAATTGGATTGGCCATTGGCGTACTTACCACTTCTTCCTCTTCTTGATAAGAAAGAGTACTTACGATTGAAGGGAGAGGTTCTTTTGAGTTTTTCCATGGCGGGAAGTCTAAGATGGCTACGGAATCCATTAGAGAATTCACTTCATATATGGAGTTTTCAATGTCAAATGCGTCCATGTTGAAGTGAGAGAGGCATGCCTCAAGAGGATCTTCAGAAGGAATGGAAGGAATGACTTCTTCAACAATTTCATCCAAGATATTCACCATGAAACACTCGCCTTCATTGATAGGATGTTGGCTCGTGTTAAACACATTAAGCTTAACCATCATATTGCCAAAAGAGATGTCCATAATGCCGGACCTACAATTGATTGTCGCATTAGCGGTGGCAAGAAATGGTCTTCCTAAAATGATGGGAATGTAAGTGGTAGGATTGGGAATCGGCTCAGTGTCAAGCACAACAAAATCAACCGGGAAATAGATTTTGTCTACTTTGATGAGGATGTCCTCAACAATTCCCCTTGGTTGTTTTGTAGACCTATCGACGAGTTGAATAACTACCGAAGTTGGCTTAAGATTTCCCAAACCTAATTGAAGATACATGGAGTAAGGAATAACGTTAACACTAGCCCCTAAGTCAAGAAGTGCCCTTTTTACCTCATGGTTCCCTATGGTACAAGAGATGGTTGGAGCGCCAGGGTCTTTGAACTTAGGTGGGGTGCTAAGCTTAATGATAGAGCTTACTTGCTCCGTGAGAAGTACTTTCTTTGGGCTTGGTCCCTTGTTCTTCCTCTTTTGAGTACATAAGTCCTTCAAGAACTTGGCATATGGTGGAATTTGTTGAATAGCATTAAGAAGAGGAAGGTTGATTTTAACTTGTTTAAAAACTTCCATCATGTCATGGATTTTTCCTTCTTGCCTCGAAAATGGAGTAGCGTTTAAAGCTTGTGGAAATGGAGCTTTGGGCTCATAAGACTTCTCTACATGGGAGGAAGATGATGATGATGGAATTTGCTCATTAATGTGACCATTTGTCCCTAGTGAAGTAGGAATGGAATTGGGAATGGTAAATGTGCTAACACTTGGTTGCACCGGAACACTAACTTCACTAGGTCTCTCAACTTTATTATCAATTTTTCTCCCACTCCTCAAGGTGGAAATGGAGTATGCCTTTCGGTTAATCTTAGGTTGAATAGGCCCTTTCTCTTTTATTGATTTAGCCATTTGCCCAATTTGGGCTTCAAGTTTTGCAATTGATTGAGAATGTGAATGAAACACTTGATTTTCCTTTTGAAGATCACCCAAAGCTTCTAAAACCTTATCCTCAAAAGTGGGATTCCTAGGAGGCTCTTGAGGTGGATGAGAATAAGATTGATGATTTGAAGAATGAGAATTAGAGAATTGATTCACATTTGGAAGAGGATAAGATGGAGAGTGGTATGCTTGAGAATTTGCATTTCGGAGGTGGGGAGGCACATACTTTTCTTGGGAATTTTTATGAATAGGAGGAATGATACCTCCTCCTTGATTTCTCCAAGAAAAGTTAGGATCACTCCATCCAGAATTGTAGGAGTTAGAATTTGGATTACTTCCCGGATGAATGAAAACAGCATTGACTTGTTCTTGATACTCACTCGGAAAAACTTGTCCAAGAGGACAATTGGAAGTATTGTGAGTATAACTAGAGCAAGTCATGCACATCACACTTTGAGAATGGAAAGAGTTGGATGTTTGAATTGCCGGGTTTTGGCTCGAAAAGAATTTATCAAACGTTTGAGTAAGAATTTTGACCTCAGCGGCAATTTCCATGGAAATATTTATTTGAGAAAGATTGGAGGTTTTCTTCCCTCCTTCATTTAAATTTTGGCCAAATCGGGACGATGAAGAACGATGCATTGAATTTTCGCTCATGCGATCAAAAAGATGCCACACATCGTCTTCATTTTTGTCCAAATAGGCTCCTCCACATGAAGCATCAACCATACCTTTTTGGGTATCGGATAAGCTTTCATAGAAGCAACGAACTAATTGCCACTTAGGAATGTCGTGATGTGGACACTTCCGTAGCAAATCGTTCAAACGCTCCCATGCTTCATGCAAAGGTTCTCCCTCATTTTGGGAGAATTCACGGATAGATGCTCTCATAGCATCGGTTCTACTTGCGGGGTAAAATTTTTTTAGGAATTCATATTGTAGTTGAGCCCAAGATATGATTGAATTTGCCCTTAAGTTATTAAACCAATATTTAGCCTTTTCCCGAAGAGTGAAAGGGAAAAGCTTCATTTTTAAGACTTCTTCCGGAAGGTCCGTGATTTTCACGGTTGAACAAACTTCCAAAAACTCATCCAAATGTTTATATGGTTCTTCATTATTTACCCCATAGAAAATGGGGCACATTTGGATGGTTGCGGGCTTAATTTCATAATGGGTTGCCCATCATATCTCTTTACATCTTATTCTATATTGTTTTAGAATGTATGCTTTACTTATCCCATTTGATATTTGATGTGAGTTGCTAGTGTGGCTTTTCTAGTAGGTTTTTGCATCCAAGTTTAGGGGAGACCTCTTTCATCATGGATCATTGCCGGGCGTCATTAACTTTTGCTATCACGGTATACTCTTTCCATTTCTTTCATTGTTCTCATTGCACATTGAGGACAATGTGCAGTTTAAATTTGGGGGTAAGGTAGCCTTGTTACATTCTACTTTAAGTTGAGCTTTAAATGCATGATTGAGATTTGAGATGTATTTGGCAATGATTTTGAACTTTTGAAGCATAGTACTTTTAAAAAACAAGTTGTTAAAGTCTAATACTTCTTGTATGCTCTAGGATGCCATTTAGGGGTAAATTTTTAATTTTTGATATCATGTTTGGTCTTGTGGTACACATCATCTTGTTGGTTGAAAATGCTTTGAGAGTTGATTCTAGAATTCTACACTTGCACTTGCGCACACTAGCATTCAATTTGTGGGGTACATGCTTAGTTGATTATTGTCTTGGTTTATCCCAATTGAGCTAGTATGCTTTGGAAGCTTTCATTCTTGATAAAATGACCTTGCAAAAAAAATAAATAAATAAAAGCACTCACCAAAGGTGAGGAACAAAAAAAAAAAAAAAAAAAAAAAAAAAAAAAAAAAAAAAAAAAAAAAAAACTGCATTCTTTCAACATGTCAACTGATTAAAAAGGAAGACAAGGAAAGAATGTAAGATGTATGATTAGTTTGAGTTCGTAGCCTAGCCATTCCGAGTCATTACGCCCTTAGGAGTGTCTTTACACTTAACGCCCTAAGACCATCTGGTTTGGGAGTCGTTGGCTCAACGCTTGTTACATGGGGTGAGTAGAGAGCTTAAGGAACTTGGACATTGCACATGGTCATACATATATATATATAAAATTGATGAAATCAAATAAAAAAAAAAAAATGTTTGATTGAATAACAAGGTTCATTCAATGTCTTGATGTCTGGTACTATATCTGTATGCTAGTTTGAGGGTAAGGCTATGCCATTACTTTGATTTGCTATGATAGCAACACATTTTGATGCCGGTTCACTAAAAAAGGATGATAAAATTGATTCAATTTGCATGATTAACTTGCTTGATGTGTGGAGGACCATTTTTGCTTACATGATGTTGAAATATTGAGAATAGCTTAGAAATGGCAGAAATTTGCATACTTGAAGTAGTATACTTTAAACACTTATTTGATATGTGTCGTTACTTCTCAAGTAAGAAAGAGCTGTTAATGTTTGTGGGTACCATTTCTGAAAACCTTCACGAGACTTCACTCGTCCACTAGGGGTAACCTAGGGGTTTAAAAGGCTTGTTGCATATGCTAAATGCAACCGTGATCCCTACGAAAGTGGTGTTATCTTTATTTGCTTAATTAGTTCATAGTTGTATATATGTTTGTTTCATTTCCATGTTGTAGTTCATTGCTAGGGACTAGCAATATCTAAGTTTGGGGGTGTGATAAGTGCTTAAATGTTGCACATTTCAGCACCTAAGCTAGGGTATTTCAGTCTTTGCATCTATCTTAAGTTTATGTTTTAGTCCTAATTTATGTTTATGTGTATTTCAGGGCAATAAAGTTAAAATGAGCTAAGAACGGTCCAATTAAGCCTTTTTGGAGTTAAGCAAAGATTTTCAGAAAATGGCACAAAGCGGTCAATCTCGGGCCTTTGATGATGTTCCCAAAGATGGAGAAGCAAACCAAATAGCCCAGGGCAAAAATGGAGCTGAATAAGGCTTAAAGGAATTTTTCAACTCTGGGGGATCGATCCCCCAGGGTGGGGGATCAATCCCTCAGGACTTGGCAACATTGCATATTTTTATTTTAATGTTTGGGCTTATTTTGTAACCTAGTGGGCTTTAATAGGTTTATTACTTAAGCCCAGTGAGGCCCATTGTTTTTAGGGTTAGTATTTATTAGTTTAGTGATTTATTATTTGGGGAATTAAGTTTTTATTTTTTTTTTTTGATCTGTATCGTGATATTGTTCTCTTTGGGAGAAAACGAAAGGAAGAAAAAAAGCGGGGGGTTTGAAGAACAGTTCTTGCAGAGACTTTGTCTACAATTGAAGGAAGAAGAATAGGGAGCCAAAAGATGGAGATGGAGCTTGTTGACACCATGATCATCTTCTCCATGAGCTAATTCTTCACTTAGGGCTTGGATGAGCCCTAAGTTCATGTAACCTAAACCTTTGTTTTTCTTTTCTTGGGGAATTATTAAGTTGTAATTAAATATTTGGCCTTGTGATTTATTTATATATACATGCTTGATTTGACAAATTAGGGCTTGTATTGATTAATTCTTCCATTGAAATCTCCAAGTTGATTGTATGTCTATATATGATTAATTAGGGATTTTATTCTTCATTAGATGTTTGAAAATTAATTCTTCCATTAATTCTATATGAAAATTGCATGTCTATGTGTGATTGATTTAGAATTATACTCTACACTAGATACTTCTTTTAGTTGTGTTTAGTGATGGCCATAGCATGAGACTTAGTTGATACAATTGTAAATTAATTTGATGGATAAAGGCTTAATCTTGATGGGTTGTTCTACAAATTAGCTTATTGTCATTAGGTAATTGTAGTAAAGTAGGCAATTTGTGCTTGATTATGTTAATCCATACTTCTAATTACAATTAGTATTATCCTCTTAATTGATGTGTGCTTTTATCGAATACATTTGTGAATGTGTATGGTGGGTTATGACGTAGTCTTGAATGGGTTCTACACTTTAGTTTAATTATCATTAGGTAAACAATTCATTCTTGATGTTGATAATCTATGCTTACAATTGTGATTTGTGATGATAATGTGACCACATCTATAATTACACTAATAAATTCCCCATTAATTGAAAGCATATGGTTAATTGCATGGGCTTAGTGGTGAATCCTAACCCTAAGACTCTCTTCCTATCTCTTTAATTCTTAGTTTAATGTCATTTCTATTTTCATGCTTTTAATTGAATTTTAGTTTAATCACTCCACCAAAATATTTTTCTCTCACACTCTTTATCTTCTCTCTTTTACAATCTAATTAGCATTAAAATCAAGTTTAGTCCCAACACGTGTTCAATCCCTTGGGTTCGATCCCTTCTCACTTCATACTACATAGTATAAGTGTCTAGCGGTTTACAAATGTAAACTATGATGCCCGCTTGATACCATTTCCAAAACCAAAGTGTTGTGCATTATTTTGTGCACACGCTCGGGTCGCATCAAATCCCAAATCTCTTTCTCTGTGTTCGTCCTCTGATTCCGGCGACCTTGGTTGTCGTCGAACCTTTTGCTACTCAGTCCTAACCCCACAAACAGTCTCTCCTTCTTCCTCCTAGGGTTTGGCCTTAAACCCTTGGCCAAAGCCTCCTTCTTTTTCCTCACGTTTTCCTCTCTGTATCTCTCTGCCTCCACGTATAAAATATATCACGTATATGAAAACCTAGCCTCCCACAGACCTATACTTTTATATATATGGTAATCCAATATAACCCTAATCCAAATCAAACCCTAAGTTTGCCTTAAGGAAAAATATCAGGAAAAAGGAAAATAAAAATAATTATATATATATATATATATATATATATATATATATATATATATATAAGTCTGTTATAAAACTCACGTGAATAAGCATATATACATATGTATATACTATATAACCTTCTAACTATATATATAATATATATCTGACTATAGTTAAATTACTATTAACTATTTATAATACTAATGAATATAAAATCCTTATATACATATATACCCATATATATATGGACATTCATCCATGGGTAAACATTCGTATCCAACCAACTCCTATCCAAGTAGTCCATGTGACCCATTGGGTTGGTCCATTACTACTATTTATATCCAACTCCTTTAAAATAAAATACAACATAAAACAATTAAATGATTTAATCCAAATAAATAACTACAATTAAACCACACATCAATTGAGCAAGTAAAATACCCAATTAATTAACTACACAAGCACCTAATTAATTCAAATAAATCAAATAAGCAATTAAGACAATAAGCATATCATCATGTAGCCACATAAACACCTAGCCACGTAAGCACATAATCACATAATTAAATAAAATGTAATAAAATAAATAATTAATTTTCCTTTTTATCATTTTGAAAACTAGGGGTATTACACGTTCGTTCCGGCCGTCACATTACAAATAATATTTTGATCTCTCGTGAGATTCTCCACTACCTAAAAAATAAATGTAAAGGTAAACAATCGTTCCTTGCATTGAAATTGGATATGAGTAAGGCTTATAATTGCATTGAATGGCCTTTTCTGTTAGCCATACTTGACAAATTGGGTTTTCATGCTCATTAGATTACTTTAATTAAGGCATGTATTTCAATAGTTTCGCATTCTGTGATGATCAATGGTAAACCTGTGGCCCGGTGGGGTTGTTTCGTCCCATTCGCGGTCTCCGCCAAGGGGATCTTTTATCTCCCTATTTATTTATTTTGTACGCAAAAGCTCTGTCTCATTCTTTGCAGGTGGCCCTTCAGCATAGAGTTTTATCTGGGATTCGGGTGTGTCCCCAAGCACCATTTATTTCTCACTTATTTTTTGCGGATAATTCCATTGTATTCTGTCAAGCCTCTACTACTGAGATTGTTTTTCTTAAGAACCTATTCCAGAGGTATGAAAGGGCATCTGGGCAACAGATAAATTTTTCTAAATCCTCTATTTTCTTTTCACGTAATACTTGTTTGGAGGATCGTGTTGCTTTATGTCAATTGCTGGACATTCAGGAAGAGGGTTTATGTGCAAAATATTTGGGCATGCCTGCGATTATTGGTCGGTCCAAGTGAGATGTCTTTCACTACATATCCCAACGTATCGTTACTCGTTTAGCATCTTGGAAATCTCTGCTCTTATCTCCCACAAGTAAAGAAATTTTAATTAAATCAGTTTTGAGTGTTTTGCCCACATATGTTGTGTCATGCGCTTTAAGCTACCCCATAACCTTTGCAATTCTATTCTGAAGTATGTTCGTAATTTTTGATGGGGTAAAGAGTGTGCCTCTGCTTCTATCAATTGGGTTAAATGGGAGCTTTTGTGTAATGCTAAAGAGGAAGGGGGTTAAGGTTACGAAACTTTGAGGCTATAATGATGCTTTGTTAGCTAAGCAGGGTTGGAATTTTATCGTCCACCATAATAGGATGGCTTTTAAGTTTTTTAAAGCCAAATATTTTCGCAATTGCTCCTTTTTAGAGGCGCAGTTGGGATCAAATCCTTCTTGAACTTGGCGTAGTATTTGGTCTACGCAATCTCTCATTGCTGCTGGATCTAAATGGATTGTGGGAAATGGTCTTTCTGTTAATATTTGGAATGATCGATGGGTCCCTAGCATGTCTAGTAGGCTGATACGACTCTCAGTTGGTGTTTCCTGAATTCGTGGGGGATTTATTTGATTCTCAGCGGATTAGTTGGAATGTCAATTTGCTTCAATCTTTATTTCCATCCCCCATTGTTCAAGCTACTCTTAGTTGTCCTTTTAGTTTCTTTTCTAGAGAAGATAGGTTGGGGTGGGATGACGAACCTAATGGTAAGTTTTCAGTAAAGTCCGCCTATTTTCTGACTTTTAGATTGGGGTGCCAAGGGGAAATCCAATTCCAAGCTGCTGATTCTATTGCTTCTCGACAGCACTTGATGTGGCGTAGTATATGGAAATGCAAAATACCTCCAAAGTTACAGCATTTTTTGTGGAAATGTTGTAATCTTGCTCTACCAGTTCACCACCTTCTTCGAATACATGGAATGTCTGTTGATGTTGTGTACCCCAGGTGTAGTGATGAGGAGGAATCATTGGAACGCATCCTTTTTCTTTGTCCTCATTCTATCCAGATCTGGAAATTATTGCCTTTAAGTTTTGATTTTTCAGTGGACCAATCTATTTCGTTTGTGGATTGGTGGATGACATTAGTAGAGAGGTTGGGGTTGAAGGATGAGGTTCAGAATGTTTTAAGATTGGTGGCTTTTTGCTGTTGGGGTATCTGGAAGGCTGGAAATAAATTTGTTTTTGATGGCCGGCTTTTTGATCCGCCAAGGGTGGTTTCATTAGCTTGTTCATCCTTCCGGGAGTTTAAGGAGGCTTTCAATTCTACAGGTGTTGATTTAACTTCTTATCAAGTCGGCGGCCCTAGATCGGTTTTGTGTCCCCATCCCTCCCCTTCTCATTGGTTGCCTCCACCAGAGGGTATTATTAAATGTAATGTAGATGCTTCCTTTTCTTCGATTTCTCATATTGGGGGTGGTGGTGCTGTTTTCAGGGATTCTAGGGAAAATATTTTACATGTAGTGGTTTTTTCTCCTTTTTCGGCTTCGACTGCTACTATGGCTGAGGCTATGTGTTTGCGTAAAGTGGTTCTCTGGGTCTCAACTTTGTCTTCTGATAAGTTATGGTTCACGTGCGATTCTTTGTTGGGCAGTTGATGGAGATGATTGTGGTTCGGTTGAGATTCAGTCAGTCTCGTTTGACATTCGAGTGGCACTTTAGCGATTCTCTTATTCTCAACTTAGCCATGTACTTCGGCATGGTAATGAGGTCGCCCAAGCTCTTGCCTAGCTTTCCCGTCAGCACATTCTCGAGGATACTACATTAATTTTTATTCCTACTGATATTCTTGCTATTGCAACCAAAGATTCTCGAGGATACTGTATTTGAATAGTCTGTTGTTGTTTCTTTGCCAGGTTAGGAAAAAAAAAAAAAAACATAGGTGAGATATGGCATGATAAAAATAATAATAATAATAAAAGAAAAATCACGTCTTACTTTTTTACATTTTTCATCATAAGGAAAAAAAATAAAACAATTTGTGAGAAAATAATAAAAATACTCAATAATTTCCAATTCTGAGACAACAGATTTTGCTCCAAAATTTTTGGGCCTAGATGTTGTGGAGGCTAGGGATAGGCCCATTAAGTGCTACCTAATTGATCATGTGTGAAATGGAATCTGTTGATATTAATGATCCATTTACAACTGAATAATGCTGCTTTGGTTTTAAGTTATGTAATAATATCTGCTTTGGTTTTAAGTTATGTAATAATATATGATTAATGGATTGGAATATGAACGGCTTGGCTTAAAGGCGGTGTAGTTTAATGATACATTCTCTTCTTTCAAATGAGAAGAAGGCCGTGTGAGTGTATTTCTTTTTTAAAAAAATAAAATAAATTTTACTTGATTAGAAACTAATTTAAGAATTAAGGTACATTCATGAGATAGTCGGACCAAGCTCAATCATAGTTTTAAGTTTAAACCCCTTACTGGTTCATTGATATTGGCTCAAAAGCTCACAATCACTATACATGAAAAGTTTAATCTAGTCAACCTCAATCACTGTTTTTTGTTTTTTTCAAAACCAGATTGACAATTTTTATTTACATTTTAATCGAATTCGGTTCAAAAGAATAGTTACATTACACCAAATCATAACAAGATACGTAATGTATAAGGAGAGAGATTATTGAGAATAACATTTTTACATTGTCCACATTTTTTTCTTTTTTTCTTTTTTTCGTGGCATAAAATGGACACATTCCTTTATACCTGGTACGTCTTGAACCCTCACCTTCCACTAGACTACAAAGTGATCACAATGTCCATATTTTCACCAACTATAAAAGCCTTATACAGAGCATAACTTTTATACATAATTTATGAATTTACTAAATAGTTAAGGAACAACAAAACAAAATTGAAAAAGCTGCCACAACTATAGGCAAGAATGGAGAGGTACTGACAGTAACAAAGAGGAACAAGTTACCTCTTATTCTCTCTTTTCAAGCCCCATTAAATCAGGTTAAATTTTTTTTTGTTTATTTGCCACGGAAAAGATAAAATTGATGAATTGGGATCAGCTTGGCATGGGCTTGTTCTCCAGGAATGATCGGAAAAGAATGTAAGCTTGTCGGGGGCGATGAAGCGGAACCTCATGTCCTGCTCCAGTTACTGTAACAAGAGTCAGTCCTTTGTATACTTGGCTCCACCCACCAACCTTCATCACAAAACGAAACGAAGAAGAAATGATTTTCTAACCTGCTGAAGAAGAAACTAATGGTTGTCATAGCAATTTTACTGTAAAAGGTGAAGAAAAGTCGCAGCAAGAAGTAAAAACAAAAGAAATCCATGTCCTCGGTTTTAATTGTTAATTACAAGAAAGGGCATTGATAATTGTTGATTGTAAATATTATCGTTCTTTCGACTAACCTTTCCATTATCATACCACGGGTACCAGTTGGTAATAGTCGGAAGCTTCAAAGCATCAATGGAATATCGAGTTGCAGTCACAGGAACTACTGCATCAGTATCCCCACTGGAAAAAGAAAGTGTGTGTATATATATATATATATATATATATAGTTATTATTAGGATCAATTTTTTCCATCCTTGAGCATCTATACATGAATTAAGCCTGTGTTGATGCTGTGATAAGGTTCATGGGAGGACAGCATCTTTAACACGCACAACTTAAGATTTCAAACCAGTGTCTAGCCAGCCTAATTTCATAAATGACAGCAAAGATTGCACGCACCTATTTCATTTTCGACTATCAGTATCTTTTAATACTAAAACCCACACGAGTTGGAATGTATATAGATACAGAAAACCTGGTAAAATCAAACTTAAAAAACATGGGGAAGCTTTATGTCAGAAATTTAACAATTTCGATTTTAAGGAATTTTATAACTTCAAAGTGAAGGCAACTGGAAGTGTTAATTACCTATTCCTGTAAAGGGTTTCTAGATTTGATAGATGTATGAAATATTATGGGTTAAGTGCAAAAAAAACCCCTCTACCATAATTTCCTCTTAAAAGAATCCATATTAGACCAGGCCGATGAGTGTCTGTACGGATAAAGTAGTTTTACTGCCCTCGAGTTGAAGAAAGTAAGACCCACAACACCCTTTTGAGTCCCCTGAAAACGTAAAGTGAGCAAATGCATGCAATTTTGAAATCACAGTGATTGTAATTTCCAAAAATTAAAAACAGTGATTAATTATCAAAAATAATAATAATAAAGAAAGTGATCATCCTTGAAATTTATCATAATTACTATATGAACCAAATGCATTTTTTGTTGGAAAATTATCAGTTAGTTTAACTTTACAGTGGGTAAAAAAAAAAAAAAAAGAAGAAAAAAATCCACTTTACTGTAATAATCAAGAGGAATAAAGTTCTATTTTTTAATATATCTTTAATTTAGTTCAGAATTCATTAGTAATTAATTTTTTAACAGTTTTGTCATTACTTATTGAATATCTTAAATATATTAATGATCTTAATTGGATTATATTGAATTTGTAACTATTAGTATAAAATTTATGTGAAAAAATAAAAAAATCAAAAATAAAAGTTAATGGTCTTAAATTAATCGGAATGTTTAAAATTTTTAGACTCAGTCTGGTTAGATGAAAATTAGTAGTGGTTATATTCTATATTTGTTTAGCCTAATTTTTTTAATATTATTTCATTTATATTAGAGATGGTATTAATGTCTTTTTTGTGCAAACTGGGGGTAATTGCACCAAATTGATAGTATAGGAAGGTTTTATACCACACAAGGACTGTTTTGCACTATATGGATAATAGAGGGGTTTTTTTGCACTTAACCCAAGGGTAAAATAGGATTTTTGAATTTATTTTATGTCAATTTTGATCAAAAAGTGGTCAGAGAGACTTATTTGCACCTTTTTTAAATTTTATAGACTCAAATGGACATTTTCAAAAAGTAAGAACTATTTTCGCACAAACCCTATATATCAAAGGTTTTTTTACACTTAACCCAAATATTATTCATATAAGAGCGAATTGCAAAAAAAACCCAAATATTATTCATATAAGGGCGAATTGCAAAAAAATCCCTTTGACTATTACCCATTTGCAAGAAACCCCCTTGTGAATGTTTTTGGCAAGAAACCCCCTTCAACTATGAGGAGGGGGTGATTTAACTTACATCCGTTTAACAATCTTGTGAGACAATTTTTTCTGACCAAATTACTCTTACATATGTGTCAGTAGCTTCAGTTGGATCTTCACCCATGAAAAAAAATAATAATAAAAAAATTTAAAAAAATTAAAAAAAAAATTTGTGTCTTCTTTCTTACATTCTAAGAATTGTGTAAGAATAGAGAGACCAATATATAATAAAAAAAAATTGCTTACCCTTTTAACTAAAAATAAATATATATATATAAAATACACAGAAGGGGAGCTCCAAAAATCAACCACAAAGAGGAAGGAACGGCCCCGATAACTGATTGCCATTCAACCACAAAGCCACTACCTCACTCATGTTACCAACACGTGATGGAATAGAACCATTAAGTTTGTTTGTGCTCAAGTAAACAGTCTCCAAATGTGGAATTTGAAACAACGATTCTGGTATTGAACCCGAAACCAGATTATTATACAAGCTTATGTATTTTAGATTTTGCAAATTTCCGAGGGTTTCTGGTATTGGGCCAGTGAAGCTGTTGAGGGACAAATCCAAGTATTCAAGAGAAGTACAATTTCCCAAATTTGGTGGAATCCCACCAGAGAAATCATTGAGGATAAGGTCAATCAACTTCAAGTGGCTCAAATGAGAGATTTCCGGTCCTAATTGACCTGAAATTTAGAAATTAGATAGGTTTAAAGCAACCACAAGGTGGGTTTGGTCACATTGTACTCCAACCCATGAACAAGGAGTGGAATCAGAAGCATTCCAGCTTGATTTGATGGAAGGAGGTTTAAATGTCCAGTGCCTCACAAGTGACATTAGAGTTGTCCCATCAGAGCTCAAACCAGACCAACTCGGCAAGGAAATGGAAATTTATTTCAAGGAAAAGGTTCAGAGAGAGCAAATGAGACTTTTACCCAATATGGAAATTAGAAGAAAAAGTAATTCTTTGAAGACCCAACTGAAGCTACTGACCCAGGTGTAAGGGTAATTTGGTCAGAAAAAATTACCTCACAAGATAAACGAAAGTAAGTTAAATCACCCCCTCCTCATAGTTGAGGAGGGTTTCTTGCAAAAAAAAACATTCACAAGTGGGGTTTCTTGCAAATGGGTAATAGTCAAGGAGGGTTTCTTGTCGCCCTTCATATAATGGTAAGGTAATATCTTAATCAACCAGGAGAAAAATTAATGTTGAAGGCAATTTTTGAAGCTTGGAGCTAGATTATTAAAACTACAAAAGGTAATCAACTATGTATAAAATGATTAATTACTCCCAGTAATAGAATTTAGTTCATCCATTAGAACTCCAATAACTAGAATGCTGTCCATAAACAACTGCTGACTTAACATAAAAGAATCAAGTTTAAGGCCACTACATGAACTCAATCAAATTTTGCTAGCATAATGGAAATATAAAAAAGAAAAATGAGGGGTTTGCACCTGAATACCCAAATCCTGAGACCGGCAGATATCAGTTCTTGATAAATAGGAAGCATGGATAGTGGAGAATCCACCCAGTAGTAACCAACAATATCACTGCAAGGAAAAGAAATTCCATTCCGAATACAATCTATACAGAAAAAATTCTCCCAACTTTCAGAATGTGAAACTTACCTGCATGAATTCCATGAATAGGGAATCCCAGTTACATTGGCGTGGAATGCTTTCTGAACTTCCGGGAGATTAAAGTACTTTTTCGTATACCTCTCAGTGCACGGATCATATGCTCTGGACATCCATGGCTAAGTTTGAAAGCAGAGTGAGCTCAACTAAAACAAAACCATTGAACAACTTGTAGAAAATAAATCACATAAAGCAATGTTTAAACTACAGAAGGAAGAAGGAAGGGATATCAAGACTGGATATCCAATAGAAGATAGTTATACAATTATAACCTCCCTCTACCAATGACGAAAAAATTAGTCAGTGATTCTTTGGTGCATTACTTCAAGAATCAAATTAGGAAAATATCGTGAAATTTGGGAAGCTTGTAATAGAGAGAATAAAAAGGAAGTATTCAATGGAGAGGCTAGATGAAGTATTACTATAGTATAATTTAGAGATTATATAGAACAATTCAGGAACACTGCAAATAAGAAAAATGAGGGTGATAAAATTATGTAGATATGATTAGTGCAAAAGCTGTGTGTACTTAGGAACATGTTGGAATTCCCAGCATGACTGTCCTTAACAAAGAATTATAACAATAGCAAGTTCATCGCAAAAGATGATCAGAACTTGCAATTGCCCCTCCACCAAAAACTTTTTTATTTATTGCTTTTGTCTTTTTGGTAGGTCCGCAACCACAGCAACAAAAATGCTAATATTTTATTATTATTTTGAAGGATTTCAAGAGCTCCGTGAAACAAGAACTATTGAAATAGGTGATTTCCGTTTCTCTTTCCCTCTGCCCCTTCACATCATTACCACCCCAACTGAGTAGTATACCTTTATCAAAAGAGTGTCTGCAACTGCTGGTCGAAGCTTGAGTGGATTCAATGGTGTCTACTAATTTAAAGGGAACCATCACCTTATGGTCGGTAAGGTCACATGCATGCTGAAGGAAAGTGGAGAGAAGGAAGAAGAAAAAGAATGATGCGAGGATGGCCTAGATCCACTTATCAACTTTTGACATTGTGCAGTACCAAAAGGCACTTGAGACCTTTGGCATACTGCACATAACAACTAGCCCAAGAAACCAAACGTAATGAGCAGGCTCCAATCAGAGGTCAGTCAGCGTCTGAGTGGGACAAGCCTTAAAGATTGAGAAATTGCCATGGCAGATACATTGTTCTTTAATTCTGAAGAAGGTCCAAACTTGAATATGAAAGTGTTTCATCATGCGTTTACACAGATTTTATTGCATATAATCAGAAGAAGCACCAACTTTTGAAGATTAATTCCCAAGTCAAAGCATTCCCAAATTATTCCTCATACATCCACGAAGGCGGCATACTCTCTATTCCAAGCACACATAGCTTTTGCTAATTGCTATCCAAATTCTTTTTTTTTTTTTCTTCCTCCTAAATTGTCACCAAACTTCTTGCTGAACTCTAGCCTTACTAAATTCCCAACTTTTTCGCGATAACTTGTTCCAATTTTTCCCAAAGATGAAAATATACTCAATGCTAGAAATTTTTGAAATTGTGAGATTGGCATTACAAACAGATGATATGGTGGAACAGTTCCATATAACAAATACTGTGTTATGTCAGACTTCAGCCAACACAGCAAACTCTGGCTGCAGAATGCGGATCAGTTGGTGACTGTTTATTCCTTCTAACAAATTAATTAGCAATAGTTTAATAAACACTTACATAGTGACCCCTTAAATTGCGCCTTAGTGATGAAGTATCATTGCAAGGTTGTGTGAAAATGCTGTACGGATCGATTTTTCCCTGCTCTGCGTCCGCAAGCCTGAGAGCCTTAACGCAATCACTTGATGGGTGCATAGAGGATCCAAAGTCGCAGGCTGTTCGAAGCATTCTATAGGTGGAGCCAGAAATCAAACCATGGGTCCACCAGTACTCAAACGTGCCAATATAATCATGGTAATCATCGGTAACAGCATTACCCACCTTAACCGAAAAGAAAAAAAAAAAAAGGGTCACCATTGAATAAAGGTTTAGTTGCTCTTAAGCATTGAAAATGAAAGCATGTAATAGAAAATTATCATAACTCATACCAAGAAACCTTTGAAATTAATAATGGGATTCTTAATTCCTTTGTTTTTTTGGTAAATAATTTGAGACAATTGAGGAACATAATGACCTGAAACAAATAAAAGGAGGCAAATTGCACCCATCATCTCATGGAGTGATCTGTATTAATATATATACAAGAGTTAAAAGATGGAATGAAACTGAAGCACCTGCATAACTTTCTCCAGCAATATAAAAATCTCTATACTGGTATTGTGGATACCTTTCGAACCAATTGACAAGAAATGTATGTGCATCTTCAGCTGCGTACTCAGAACACCCATATCCCAAAAACATCCAGAGAAGTCAGAATTTGAGTAATTTAAGATAAAACAACATAATTAACACACACAACATATAAATTGACAAAAATTTAGTATTAATGATGGGCCTTTGCAAAATATTATGACACATTACCTGTTCTTTGGTCACCTCCCGTATATAATTCCGATGTTGTGTTTGTATAAGAAAAACCAACACCAGCTGGTGATTCGAGGAAAAGCAAATTTGCCACTGCCAACAAATGAGAAGGAAAAAAAAAAAAAAATTAAATCATAAACACACCATACATATTAAAAGAACACAACATTGGAATCAAAGAAAGACAAGTGCCTTATCAATTATTCACATACGATTGTTCCAAGCATAAGGATTCAAGTAAAGGGTCTTCCCATCAGAACGAATACGAAAAGGTCCAATCTCTTCGGCAGCTCCATAAGCTACAGATGAACAACCAGGCCCTCCATTGAGCCACAACAGGAGTGGCCTTGACTCGGGTCTACGGCTCTTCGGAGACTCAATCAGCCAGTAAAACAATGCCCTTCCAGCTTCCTGATGTACAGTCACATAACCCGAGTACTGAGCGAAACCGGCATTGCTTGGCTGCCCAGGCAATTTCGTGATCCTATCTCTCTCTTGGTCTCTAGTAGACACAGAATAACAAGGACCCAGAAAAAGAAATGACAAGCAAAGTACAGAGAACAATGAGCTACCCATGAATCAATCAAACAATTATAGGACTTTAAAATCAAACAAGGCCCAGAAACACTAATCCCAAAATATTTCTGGTACAGAGGAATAAATTATGAGATTGGCCATCAGAGATAGAGTTGTTGACATTTGTTTTGGTGATGAACCAATCAAACAACTAAAAATAAAACCAGACAATACTCAGAGACACAAATCCCAAAGAATTCGTCTATAACAGCCTAAACAATGAAATGAGACTGACTGGAGAATGAGGATCTAAAGAGAGAAAGTAAATAACAATTATTCAATCTATTAATTAAAAAAAAAATATAGGTTTCCAAAACAAAAATCCCAAAACATTTCTAGCTTTCCGAGGCATTTATCTTCAAAGACATAATAATGGGAAATGGCATTCATGGGTCATAGAACACAGTGTGTGTGAGTGGCTTACATTCACACACACTTTCTACAATTTGCTCCACAAGTAATTTTTGTAATTAGCTGTGATGAGGAGTGTATGAACTTTGAACTAAAAGCATAATCATTCAAGTTCATTTTTGTTTCTTTTGTGTTTTGTTTACCCACAACATCCACACAAGTTCTTTCTTCAAGTTTGCTTCTATCAGGCATTTGACCGAACAGTGACTGGCGCACATGGGTTCTGTTTTCTTTGACCACATTGATTAAAACTGGACCACGAGGAAGATCACAGATATTTTTCCGAGCTTGCTAATAATTAAGCACATAAAGAAAATAAAAATAAAAATAGAAAAGGACTGACACTTTTCAATTAGACCTTTGGAAGCTGATGAGAGAAAGTCAGACAGAAGAGAGTGACAGATGCGTTTAAAGCAGTGATGGAGCTTGGGTGGGGCTAACCCCAGCAATCCCAGCTCCGTGCGGTTGAGTCATGAGTGAGTCACTTGGTACAAGAGGACTAATTATTTTGAAGTTCATCCTAAAAATCCGAGAACTAAAAAAAAAATAGTTTATAATTTTTTTATTTTCAAGATTATATGTAATTTATGTAAAATAAAGTTAAAATTATATGATTTATAGTAGGATAAATTAAATTGGTCTCTCTTTAGGTAATTTATACACAGATAAATGGATTAGCGTTTGTTACTTTAATATTTTCTAAACTCGACTCGTTCAATGGCTTTTAGTAACTTTGAGTATGAAAAGTTGTTAATGTCCTCATTTTAAAATAATATATCATATTACATTTTGTATAAGGGAAGGTCAAAATTGTATTGATAATAGTAACTTTGTTTTAGATGAAGTATTAAATTATTAGACTTTCTTTAAAATTCAATATATATCAATAATTTTACTATTTGAAATTGGAAAAGAATTTTACGTTGTGAATTTATGTTTTGGGTTTTTTTATTTTTTATTTTTATTTCTTTGCTCCGGGATTTATCTTTTATGTTACTTTCTAATTGGTTAGATAAAAAAAAAATTTCTCTTTATTATCAATGAAGTTCTTGTATTTGTAGTTTGTATTTGCCATTAAAAAATAAAAAAAGTTATCCTGGTGTTAAAAATAGAAAATTTAGATATTGGATTCATCATTCTTGCCATTATCCCATATAGATGGAGATTATGCATAATATCATCATCCCACGAAAACTAATAACTCTTTCTTTTTTAATAGTATATTATTCATTAAATATAACCATACCAGATAAGTTTATTCTCTCTAATTTTATCGTATTATACTAATATTTTCATTACATATGTTAATTATTAATAGTATATCTTTTAGTGATTATCATTATCACGCCTTCATTAATTTTTTTATTATTATTTTTTTCTTAGAGCACGTGTATCTACCCCACAACTTACACCATTTAAATTAGGAGTCCAATTCAAAAGTGAAACCTCAGTAACTTACCTTCCGAATCTCTGCCAATACCGTTATGCCCCTGGAAACTCGCACGTTCATTGTTAACCTTATCTATCTTTTAACATAGCATCCGCGTTTATGCTTAAATGAATGTGTTATATTTGAGTTATTTTTAGCCCCAACACAAATATAGATATTGGATGACCAAGTGAATATGGCGAGAAAGAATAGGCCCAACTGCTATAAACCCATTTATACATCATATTCAAGGGTTTGACTCAACATTTGGTTCAAATAAAGACAAATCACTTGGTTCAAGGATTTGGTTCAAATCACTTCCCTAGCAATGTTTACATGATCTTGTCTTCATTCCTACTGATGCTGAAATTCAGTCTTGCTTCCTAACTCTCAATAAAGATAAACCCCCCGGGTCGGATGGGTTTAATGTTCACTTCTTCCAGAAGGCTTGGCCTATTGTGAGAAATAGCATTATTGCAGGCATCAAATCATTCTTCCTTAGTGGGAATCTCCTTAAAAAGATTAACAATTCCTATATAGCCTTGGTTCCTAAAGTACCTAATCCATCATCGCTTAATGATTTTCGCCCTATTTCTTGCTAAACTGATTGCTAACAGGCTCAAGAAAGTTTTACCTTTTATCATTGATCCATGTCAAAACGCATTTGTAAAAGGTAGGCATATTGGGGATAGGGTACTACTCACTCAGGAATTGTTTCATGGCTATCACAGACACCTTACCCCTCACAGATGTGCCATCAAAGTTGACTTAATGAAGGCTTTTGATTCTGTTGGCTGGGACTTCCTAATTGATTCACTCACCCTCTTTGCCTTTCTATGCACATTTGTGAAATGGGTGAAAGCCTGTATAACCTCCCCATCTTTTATTATCTCTATTAATCGTGAATTTCATGGGCATTTTCCAGGGGTGAAGGGGTTGAGGCAAGGGAATCCCATCTCACTCCTACTATTTGTGGTTGCCATAGAAGTGTTTACGTCTATCACAAAAAAAATTCATTGCTGATAACCACTCCTTTAAGTTTCACTCAAGATGCAGGAACTTGGCTATCTCTCATCTCATCTTCGCTGATGATCTCCTCTTATTCTCTTATGGGGACCTGACCTCAATTGGTACTCTCAAGCAGACTCTTGATCATTTTTCTAAGCTCTCTGGACTATGTATTAACCATTCGAAGAGTAACTTCTTTGTGTCCGGGGTCAACAATGCACTCACCAATGAAACTGAGACACTGCTGGGATTTTCATGTGGAGATTTGCCTATGAATTACCTTGGTGTTCCCCTAATTTCATCATCAATTAGGGCAGCTGATTGCAGACCATTAGTGGAGAAGGTTACTAGAAGAATCACTCATTGGTCATCGTCCTTTCTTTCCTATGTGGGCAGAATACAATTCATCCAATCGGTACTCTACAGCATGGTTATCTACTGGCTAAGCATCTTCATTCTGCCTAAGTCAATCATTTCTGAGATTAATGGGCTTCTAAGGAATTTTCTATGGAAAGGGAACGAGCTCTCTTACATTGGCGCTAAAATTGCTTGGCACGTTGTATGCCAACCCAAAAAACTGTGGGGGCCTGGGGTTTTGAAATCTAGAGATCTCAAACACTGCTGCTGGACTTAAACACATATGGAATGTTATTTCAGAGCGCAGGGACAGTCTATGGGCTCAATGGGTAAGGATACAACTTATACGTGAAAGATGTATTTGGAAAATGAATCCTCCTCAAGTATGTTCAAGCAACTTGAAGAAACACTTGCAGCTTAGAGGTATTGCCCGCTCAATGATAAGGACGAAGGTAGGTGACGGTAACAGAATCTTTTTTTTTTTCTGAGAGGATAACTGGCTTCATCTAGCCAACCCTGATCTAATTCAGAACATGCCTATTTTGCCGAGCACTTCCCGGATCTCCTTCAGATTAATAATCCCTCTTCAGCATCTGACACTAGCATATGGATTCCTTCACCTTCGGGTGACTTCTCCCTCAAGCACACTATTGGCTGGCTTGCGCCCCACCATCAACCAAGGCACTGGCAGTATCTTGTTTGGAAACCATTTTCCATTCCTCGATGCAAATTTACTCTGTGGCTAGCTATACAAAACCGCGCTTTCAACATATGACAGAAGATGTATGCAAATCCTTCGCTAGGTCTAGACTTTGCCTACTTTGCCAATCTACTCTGTTAGTTGCTTTAGACATAGCTATTCTAGGGTTTATAGAATATTAGTGTCTTTATTCAACTGTTGAATGGGCCTCTTTGGTTTGTCTATTTGGTGGCTGTCTTAGGCCTCTGTTTTTTGGGCTCTGTACCTTGTAATTTTATCATTTCAATACAATTAATTACCTTTCGAGGAGAGAGAGAGAGAGAGCAGAAAAAAAAAAAAAAAAAACATTTGGTTCAAGTCAGATCATTAAACAATGTCCACATGCAACTGGACCCTATGACATTAATGGAGTGGACTGTCCAAAACTTGCAACTTGCAAGCACTCATTTTATTGCTCCGTTTTGTTAAAGAATTATGTCTAATTTCACTTTAAAATTATTTTCCTGTATTAAAACGCAACACTATTATATTAAAAAAAAAAAAACATATTATTATTTTTATATTATATTTTATATTTTAGCAGTTTGTTTTTTTATGCAATATCATTATTTTTATATTCTCTCTATGGAAGATGTTGGCTTCTTTTTAGAGTGAAACAATCCTTTCATATATTTGCAATCAGGACATGTTTAGTACGTCTTTTTATTTTTGTCAGGTATTGTAATTATGAACAATGAAAAAATTTGGTAAAAAAAAAAATTTATTTTGTACCATGTTGAAACGTTTCTGGAATAGTGGCCAAAAATTGAAACATCAAATTGATATTTTTTCACGTTTCTGTAATGTAACAACAATACTTTAATGAACAGTGGCCTCAAAATAAATATTAAAAAACTCTGAAATGGTCTTTTTAAACTAGCCATAATATTTTTAAAACTTGTAATATTTTTTACCAACGCATGTTTTTTCTTTAATTTTTTTTTTTGCAACAAATAGACATTACAAAATATGTTTTCAATTACTATTCAAAACAACATATGTACAATAAAACACTTATTTTATTTCAGGTTAAAACAAAATGTTTTTCATTTCCCTACCAATTTTTTTACAGCCAAATGGATGCACAAATAAAAAAATTAAAAAAAAAAAAAGTCACATATGTCTATAAGTAGTATTTTTTTTTTAGGGAATTTATGAGTCTACAAAATTATTGGAAGAAATATAATGAAAGACAAGGTTATATTTAAACAATACATATATATTCTAACCCTTTTAAATTATGTATTTTATCAAATAAAATTATTCAACTTTAATCAGTCAAAAGTGTCTACTAATTATCATTGCTTGACAAAGACTTTACTCTTAAAAAATAAAGTATTTATGAAATAGTTTTCATAGAATAATACATTATCTCAATAATGTTTCTCCATTAAAGTTAAAGTAATAAACTTTTGACTCTTGGGCATTGGAGTAGCCCACAAATTTATTGATTTGATTTATTTATTTATTTATTTATTTTTCCTTAGCTACATTATGTTGCCATTTGTCAATGGACAATGCTATTAATTAATCCTTTTTTGTAATAAAGAAATTTCTTTTTGACCATCAAAATATCTCATTTAACCCATTTTGGGTGACACTGTA